TCAACTTGCTTATTTTAAATGAGACACTTTGTATGTGATTGCATATTTGAGACGTCTTTTTGATCATGAAACCGTTTCAAACCCGGTTCAAAACTGTTCCGATTGTTACGTCATCAATTTGCAATGTGACAAAAATGCACGATTTTGTAACGAATCACGTGACACTCGTTGACATCTAAAATTGTCAGTTTATATTAATAAAAAAATTCCAAGTTGAAATGCTGTCATTTCCATGTTTTCTTGACGATTTCAATTTGTTAATCAGTGCGCACTGAATGCGCATCTTTTTCTTAAAGCATGTAAAATACAAGGATAGGGATACATTTTTTTTTCACTGATTCTACAAATGGAATTCGCATTGAGTCTCCATCCATATTTGCACTAGCTAATTTACTCTTCAGTTGATATTGACACTATTTACAGTAAAATAGGTAATATTAACAAAAACAACAACAAATGATTTTGAGGTTATATTTATATAGCCAAGAACCCTGTTTGAAGCGTGCCCAAAGATCATTTCAAAGCTGGTTGCACCGTTGCCGTACATGACGTCACTATTGCAACACGAAAATGGAGTGTTTCGAACCAGTATGAAACAGTTTGAAAAAATTTCAACAGGGCATGTATCATAATATGTGAGTATTGACATTTACGAATATGGAGCGGTATTCAACACAAGGGGCGTGTTCTTTTTTCCACCAAAAGTTTATGTTGATTTCCACCAAAAATTTGCTGTTACATCAGCTGATTTCTGTCACGTGGATCTTTGATGTCATTGGTGAAAGCACCACATATCCACCACAATTTACATAAAAGAACGCTTTGGTGGAGCAAAATCGAAAATATCTAAGAAATCTTATACTATCTGTGCTTCTAATTCAGAAAAATTGAAATGGACAATGCGAGCAAAGCTACCATTGGGCCAAGAACATTAATTACAAAGCGGAATAGAATAAAAGACTCCTCAGAGGATCTCAATTTCTTTTGCAGCCAGTTTTTTGACTGAATATGACAAATCATTGTAGTTAAGTTACGTCATCAGCTTCCTGGTTCTTCATTTCTCATCTTATAGCTTCTAACAAATGAGCTAAGAAACAAATAAAAGACTACGCAGGTCACACAACAAGCCGACAGTAGTTAATTTTTTAAGGTTATGTGGTCTACCAACGCAAAACCACCAGAGTAATCACAGAAAATTTCTGTTGGAGCTTGGTTGCATCAGGTTTCCACCAGATGAAATTCACCATAAATCCACTAGTAAAATAAGAACGCGGTGTGGTGGGCCATCATATTTCCACCATCAATAAAAAAACGCTTTGGTGGCATCATGTTTTCACCTGGTGAATGTCTGATGGAAAAAAGAACGCGCCCAAGATCGCATTTTAATTGTTGAAATCTATTTCCGAAATGGAGAAAATTTAAGACGATTCGTGCATTACGAAATGACTTCGGTAACCATAACCGTCCATCTCGTGTCGCGCTTAACAAGATTCAAAAATTTGACCGAACCGGATCAGTTGTTGTTCTATGATGTCCAAAGACCAATACGTCCTCGCAGTGGTCGATCAATCGAAAATATTGCCGCAGTGAGAAATCGTGATTCAGATTAAACAAATGATTATCAAAATTGTTTTTATTGAATGGGGTTTGGGTCGGGTGGGCCACTTCACCATTTGCCCGGTGGGCCAAATGACCCCCAGGCCGACACTGAGCCAGACATAATATGTCTGTCAGAATCGCGTATTACTGATGACGCATTAGAAAATGGAAAATGTCTTTACGGATATAACTACGTCAGTTCATAAATGCAAAAAATCGTCATACAGGTGGTAGTATGATATACACAAAATCGCATCTGAATACAAAGGAAATAAAAAATATTGTTTCTGATCCAAACTTATGGTTAACTGCTATAGAAGTACCTACTTCTGGGGGATAAAAAATATATTATCGCATGCTTGTACCATTCCCCTAGCTCGAATGGCGTTCAGTTCAGTGTATTGAAGCATTAGGACATATTTTGCCAGAGCAACTAATCAAAGAAGGTAAATTTAAACCTTATTGGTGATTTTAATATAAACATGGCACTTGACACCTACTATTCAAGAAAACTGAAGACAACTTCAACGGAATTGGGATGAGTTTACCAACAAATAGATAAATTTACGAAAATTACTGGAGAAGGAGCCTCAATAATAGATTTATTGGTTACTATATATAAAGACATTAGTTTTGAAACATATTTAACAACAAAAATTATAGATCATGTGAAACTTTGCAATTGGATAGAAAAACAAAATATGAAACGGAAGAAAAGACAATACGTGATTACAGATTCAGAACTAGAATTCCAGCTCAATCTGATGTATAAGGAATGGAACTCTGAATTACACTAAGAGGAAACATCACAACGTCTAGTGGCCAACATATTGAATACTTTAAACCAACATGTTCCACTAAAGAAAATTAAAATAAAACAGCAATGCGGTGGGTAACAAAAAAATGGTGGACAGATGAAATAGGGGAAGAAATAAAACGAGACATATTATAAAAGAGCAGTTATAACACAAAACAGAGAAGACTGGGATAAGTTCAGGCAGAAAAGAAACTTAATAGTGAACAAAGTTCGATAACTTGAACAACAGGATTACTTAGAAAAAATAGAAGCAAAAAATGATAGCAAGGAAATGTGGAAGGTCATAAAAGAAATAACAAGCGATGATGCAAAGTGTACACTAAAAAATGGAATTGAATTTGATGGAAAACTGTTGTCCGAGCCAAGTACTGTTGCGGAAGGTTTCAATACATTACAATTACAAACCAAAAAAAATGAAAAGCTCGTATAAACACAAAGATTTTAAAACTATCATCCGAAGCCATATTGGACATCAATTTCTAGAAGTAATTAATGGGAATGGAAAACAGCAAATGTTACTCCAATTCAAAAAAAAAAGAAACTCCAATCTTTGCAAAGATTTCTGACTCATAAATATGGTACCGATATAATTTGAAAAGCTACTAGAAACCAGTCTAAAAAACCAATTAACTCAATACATAGAAGAAAATAGACTACTGACAACTTACCAGACAGGATTTAGAAAGAATAACAGCTGTGAGACCGCTCTTCAAAATGTTTTGGCCAATTGGAAATCTGCATTGGGACCGTTTTCCTTGACTTACGTAGAGCGTTTGAAACCAAAGCAGGCCATTATTATTAAAAAAATTAGAGCGATTAGGACTATGTGGAAATGCTTTGGGATGGATTGAAAGTTACTTGCAAAACAGGACACAGAAAACAAGATATAGCAACAACGAATCATCGAGTAGGGAAGTCACACTGGGAGTGTCGCAAGGGACTGTAATGGGTCCAGATTTGTTCATATATGTATGTATACATCAACGACATTGTAAAATGGACAAAAAATTGTAACATACAACTATTTGCAGATGGTACATTGTTGTACTTCATTGGAAATGATGTACAACACAGTCAAAACCATTAACGAAGAACTGAAATCCATTTCAAGGTGGTTACAATACAATAATCTGAAATTAAATATTGAAGACTACGTTTATGATGGTGAAAAATAGGGGCACGGCGCGAGAGGACCAATTACATCACGGTGTAGAAATAGATGGCATTCAAATAGAAAAAGTGACGGTTTATACAATGCTTTTACCAACCATGCGACCTATGTGACAAGGCAAATAAAATATATGCATTGGGTCGTATGCGTAATACTTACTGCGCAGGCAAAAACTTTAATTTATAAATCTGTGTTACAACCACATTTGTTCTATTGTCCAACAATATTGTTTACTTTAAGTAATTCTTATTATAGAGACAATGTTACAAGCCGTGGAAGTTCTAAGTGTAAAACAAACAGTTTACTTAGAAACACCTATTTTTATATTCAAAATCGTACAGGGATCCTTACCAGAGAATCTAAAAGACTTCACACGACCGAAACACTAAAAATGCAGACAATAATTTTCATATTCCCACTGTTTGAAGAAATTTTAATCAAAGAAATGTTTTTCATAATGGATTAAAAACTTACAATGAGTTACCTAATCATGTTAAGCATTCTCCTAATTTAAAGGAATTTAGAAGATGTCGTTTGCACAGCTTTCGTTTGTTTATAGAAGATACAATACCTGTGTAATTGTTACATTATAAAATGATTGATTAATTATGTACTTTGTGTTTATTTTTGCTAGCTCAAAGCTAAAAATAATGATTATTTATTTATTTAATATTTAAATGAAATAATTTTTTTTACATCTCATAATGATTAAAATTTTCTTTATCTTATAAAATGAAAAGGAGAAGTCCCGTGACGCTTCCTTGAGGTACCCCATTTTCAACTGGTATTACTTCAGATAAAATACTATTTACTTTGGGTTTTTGTGTCGTATTCATTAAATAACCTATGAACCAGTCTCGAGCTGTACTTCTAATAGCTATGTTTCTCAACTAATACTCAATTTTTCTCTATTTACAGTCTCAAAAGCACGCGTAAGATCTACAAAAAGTACTCCGATTGTCAGATTGCTATCCAAACATCCTCTCCAGTCCTCACACACTACACTGCTGTCTCGCAACTAAACCCTTTTCTAAAACCTGACTGAAAATTACTTAGAATATTATTAATACTTATAAAGTCTACCAATCGAGTATAAACTACTTTTTCCAATATTTTATCAATAGCAGACAAAAGATTGATAGGCCTTAGGTTATTTGCCTTATTTGATCTAGAAACCTTGGGTATTGGAATTATAGTGAATGAGTGGTATGATGCTTATACGTCATTGTCTGACGCGTTTTAATGATTTTGACTTTTTCGAGTTGGAAGTGTCTGTAGAAAAGTCATTTAGGCTCGTAGATCCTTTTTTTTGGCAAAAGATTTTATGCTCAAATTACGTACCTATTTAAGTTTTAGTGAAAGGGCTCTTTATTTCGTGAAATCAGATGATTTTTATAAATAAACCCCAAAAAAAACAATAAAAGCATATAAAAAGTTTATTAACAATAGGTATATTACACAATTCACTCCTTCTGATGTGCTTTCTAATCCTGCTGGAAAAATGTATTGATTTAATTAAACTGATTTTTTTCTCCAGTCCAAAACAAATCCTAAATTATGTGTTTGATGAAGGAAATGAACACAAAACTTTTGCAAATTTATTGTACAACTAATAGTACCTATCTACATATAAAATATCATCACAGTAAAAGTTTATTTTTTTTATAGAGATTTTGATTTGTCTGCACATGTACCTAACTGTGCAGCAAATGGAAATCACTAAAACAATTAACATATACCCAAATACTTTGAATAGAGGTAAACTTAAATACCAGGCTTCGAACTTAATTTACATTTATTTTGATTGCTAAAGAGTAGGCTTGCATTGGTTGTACGTCTATTCTGATAGTATCAAAGTATATACATATTATGCAATATACAAATAATTAAAAATTGTACACAGCATAATTTCTATAAAAATAAAAAAATAGTTTTGCCCCAAAAAAGGGCCTAAATTTATTAATTTTTAAAGACGGCAAAGTCTTTTATCCTATGATAAATTATTATTCGAAAAGCGATTTAAATTCTATTTCATTTATTAAAATTAAAACCAACAAAAAATTACACAAACACTATACAATTTAAATTTTATCAATTGATCATCACAACAATAACAATTAAAGATTATTAAAAAAAAATCAATTGGAAAAAATACTAGATAATTAAAATTTTACATTACATTAAAATGTGGTCACCCACTTACTTAAAATTAGGAAATTAGGTTTGAAAGAATGTTTATTTTAAGACTTGACTATTCCATTAAATAGGCCCATCCCGCATATTAACCTAATATCACAAAAAAAAGGGCCTAAATTTGGGAACAACGGGGAACATATGTCTTGTTCACAAATAAGTACCCTGAAGCTCCCTGAAAGACACTCATAATGATGTTTTTTTTTTGTTTATAAAATTAAAAACATATTATATCCCTAGTCAAGGATATTTTGCATTAGAAATGCAGTCGATTTTGAAGCAATTCTGAGTTGATTTAGGAGTTACACATGCAGACAAAATAACAGATGGCCAAAAGTGAATATTTCCAAGAAAAACAAAATTGAGTTTGGGGTCAAGTTTTAAAATAAAATCCTTCTCAAACATCTTCAATTTCACAAAGTACCAAGGACACAAGAAATTAGATTTTGTCAGGATTTTTTATCAAATTCAAGATCAAAATCCCATTTTATCTGTATAGTGTAGCTTGCATCGGGTACAAATAAATAATTAAATAATTTACACACTTAAGTGATCGTTGACAATTAACAAAAAGTCTATGGCCAGAGTTACCCAATTCCTTAATTCTTAATATTTGCCCTTAACTCTTAATTCTTAAAAAGTTCAATTTAATTAACATTGGTGTTTTTAAAGATTATGAATTAAGAACAAAAATTGAGAATTAAGGAATTGGGTAATCCCGGCCTATATTCCAAAATTACTATTAATCAAGCAGCTAGGTACCGTATTTAATTTCAATTTCATCCCTAAAAATCAAAAATTAAAATTATATAACTAGAATTAAGCAAACAGTATAAAATTTTCGTTTTCCAATTTCGATAAGATGATATTACAAAACAATAACAATTAAAAATGATTAAAAAATCCAAAATAAAAAATGCAAATAGAACTATGTGAACCTAATTTTAAAAAATGGTTACCTACTTACTCAAAATTAAAAAAATAGTTTTGAAAGAATATTTATCTTAAAACTTCTCTGTTCTAGTAAATAGGACCAATTCGCGAAGGAACCTAATATCACAGAAAAATAATGAATAATTTAGAAACAACGGGGTATTATGTTGCCAAATAGTTACTCTGAACTTGGTTTTTGAAGTCACTATGTTCTCATAATAGAAAACGATATAATTTTTCTTATAAAAATAAAAAGCACTACGTTTTAGTCTGGGATATTTTGCATTAGAAATGCAGTTGATCTTGACATTTTTGGGTTGATTATCAAATCCAATCTTATTGAGAAAAGTACATATCTTGAGAGTGTTCTTATACTTAACGAATGTTAAAGAAAATTCCTTAGCATAAACAGTTATTTGTTTCTAGACAGATTCTTCTACAGTCTAGACAAGAAACATAACATAATACCAGCCGAGCACTTTCCCTCTTTTTCTCTCTCTCTCTCTCTTTCAGTGAATATTATTATGAAAGGAACAGAAACGTTAAGTTTTAAAATAAAAGTCCTCTCAAACATTTTCGATTCCACAAAGCACAAGGACACATAAAACTAGATTTTGTCGGGACTTTTTATCAAAATCACATTTTATCTGTATAAGGTAACTAGCATTGGGTGCAAACAGATAATTAAATAGTTTACAGACTAAAGTTATCGTCAACAACTCACATAAAGCATTACAATCAATGCCTTATCGACATTCATTCATTAATTTTTTTGACTTGACACAATCATTATTTTTCTAATAAAAACTCTAGAACTTATTACTAAATCTAAGAAGGCATTCAATTAATTATGCTACGAATTAGCTCCAATGATTGAGGATTGAGACAGCACACTGACAGCCAAAAATAGTTATTTCTTCAGGTACCTACTTACTTGTTCAGGATTTGGCGATTGATTCTGTGGATTTTGTGATGGAGACTGAACAGTCACTGCCATAATTGGTTGTCCACTGGCTGTTTGTAGCCTTACTGGATTATTCTGTAATAGAGTTAGTTTTTTAGAAAATAGAATTTTTAATCGATAATCAGAAAATAGGTCTTTTCTCACAGAAATCACAAACCAGTCAGTGCGAATTTCATTGGTTGAAATTAGTCATAAAACTGGTTGTTGGCGATTTGCACCACTCAAAAACGCTCTCACTGGTTTGTGATTTCTGTGAGAACAGACCTAAAAGCCTAAAATGCTGTGTTTGGTAATTTCAATTTTTAAATATGATTCACATTTAGTTGAATATATTTAACCTATTTTATCTTGAAGGGGTCCATAATTTGAACTTTATTGTCGTCAACACTCAACATAGAAGTGATCCATTATGTTCCTAGGACCATGAAAATCTTTAAGTATGAGTTAATTTGCTCAATCTTTTCCCGCTAGAGGCAGCAGCGTCAATGAGGGCTATTATGTTCTTCTAATAAATTTTGCGGAGAGGTCGACAATTGGCGCCAGAGAGTGACAGCTCTGTATTCTAATTTTCGATTTATTTTTGCGAAATAAAAGTGTTTAGGTAGTGAAAATACTTAATTGTGGAAGAGAAAATAATTAAGCGCATCTGGGGCAAGTCCTCAACAAAATTTAAAACGCCACTTGCCTTAGTATAGCTTTTTCCTGCTTTGCCTTTTTCTAACATGAAATAGTATCACAACCACATGAATGTAGAATCAGGGGTCCTTCGGGGGCCCCCACCTAGTGGAAATATGGACAAAAAAAAGACAAGTAATTTTTCATACACATTCAGAAATTCTAAACCTTACATGGTTATTGTTGAAAGCAAAAAATGAGGATAATATTGGTGATATGCATACCATGAGTATTGGTAGATTTTTTAGAAAAAGTAGGAGTGGAGAAAACCTCCAGAAAAGGTAAAAACAGAGTTAGAATAGAAGTTACTGACTTATTGCAAACGAATTTTTGACTAATAAAATATTATTAGAGAATCTTAATGCATATATTCTAGCAAAGAATATTATAGACTAACGTCTCTAGAAGTCTCGTCCGTATTCTAATTTTTGATACCTCGATGGACGCCGGCTTTTGCCGGTGTGGACGCCGGCTCGAGTCTATTGCCCACTGTTGCCGAGTTGTCAGTGCTGTTGATTCGGCGTCCAGCCAGCGAGCGTCCGTGTCCGCTTCTCTGAATGAAGTTATTAGAGTAAAATATTTGCCTTGCATGCATAGGGAGACAGACGCGTGTCAAAAGGAATTAGGAAGTTAAACATATATTTTCTAGCATATTTTATAATTTACCAACGAATATCATAGATGGATGCTATTCTATCATTTTCTTTAGGTTTTTCTCAGTACCTATATTTGGCGAATTTGCCACTTAGAAATTTATATTTAATTTCGAATTATGAATTATTTATTTATTTTCCAGTAGATCGGTTTATTTACCAACAAGTAAATTTTGGGGTCGGTCAAGTTTCCGCCCGTATTAAACAAATTTCAAAAATAAATAAACCATAATAATTTTGCACATTATGACTAAAATATTGCACACCCACACAACACAACGAAAACTAGAGCAGTTTTTTAAACTGGGGGCAAACTTGACCGTTCCCCCTTGTTTGTCTAAAACTTGAAAAATTCTTATGTTACTCGGTTCACCTAAATTTGCACAATTTCGCATGCCTATTTTCAAATTTTGCACACTTTTCTGGGGAAAGTTGAAGTATGTTTTTTTTTTAAAAGATAATTCCCCAAGTCAAAAATTCAATAACTATGTTGGCAGCACAAGCCTTTTCTACATAAAAAATTTGAAACCATTGACAATTTTACATTGCATTGCCAACATAATGTCATTTTGAATTTTATCTTAAAAAAAAAAAAAACTTTATGAGGTATTAAAAATTTGCACTATATCCGTCGTTTTTCAAAAAGTTGAAAAATCCTTATGCTACTAGGTTCACCTAATTTTGCACAACTTTGCACATCTATTTTCAAATTTTGCAAAATGTGCACTTTCCTGCCGGTTTTTTGAGAAAATGAAAAATTCTTATGTTACTCAATTCGGGTTGAAAATAGGCGTGCAAAATTGAGTGAACCCAGTAGCAAGAGTTTTTCAATTTTTTGACAAACAGGGAAAAACGTGCAAATTTTTAATACAACATTTAACTCCCAGAGGAATGTGTAAAATAAAAAAAAAGGTGTGCAAAATTGTGCAAAATTAGCCGAAACGAGTAGCATAAGAATTTTTCAAGTTTCAGATAAACGGGGAAAAAAGTGCACATTTATCACACCTCATAACTTTTCCCAGAAGAGTGTGCAAAATTTGAAAATAGGTGTGCAAAATTAGGTGAACCTAGTAGCATTGAGGTTATATTAATTTTCTGAAAAACGGGGGGGAAAATGCAAATTATTGATATTATCTATTCACAATCCGATGTCCAAAGATAAAGGTAAAATTTATCACCTTTCAGTGCTATTTGATATGGATGGAAAGGTGATAAATTTACCTTTACCTTTGGACTATGGATTGTGAATAGGATATACCTTATAACTTCTCCAGAAGCGTGTGCAAAATTTGAAAATGGGTGTGCAAAATAAGCCGGAGCGAGTAGCATAATAATAGTACATTGTGTATCAAGGGCGGAAAGGAGACGATTCCAACGAGTGTGAAGTTATCGGCCCGAGCGAAGCGAGGGCAGATATCACACGAGTCGGAATCACTTTCCGACCGTGGTGCACACAGTACTTTTTGAGCAACCCTTTTGGAAACTTTTTTAATGAATATTATGTATATTAAATTCAAAAAAATTGATAAGATACGAACATTTTCGGAAAATCAACACCCTGTCAAACTGCCAAAGTCGAATTGACAGCATTCGCGCCCGGCTAGGCGGGCGGAAATGTGCTTGTTTGCCCGGCTACGAATTGCGCATGCGTGACAGTCAGCGGGCTGGAATTGTCAACGTTCTGCCCGCTTCAGATGCGTCAAAAAGTCGCGTTATTGAGCACGTTGCGCAAAAAATAACTATTTCAATTTTCCGACAAACGGGAGGGAAAGTGCAAATTTTTAGTGCCTCATAACTTTCCCCAGAGGAGTGTGCAAGATTGTGCAAAATAAACCAAAGCGAGTAGCATAAGATTTTTCAATTTTTCGACAACCGGCGGAGATAGTGCAAAATTTTTAAGCTTCATAATTTTCTCCAGAGAAGTGTGCAAAATTTGAAATAGGTATGCAAAATTAGGTGAACCAAATAGCTGAAAAAAATTTAAATTTTTTGAAAAACGAGGGTGAAAATGTAAATTTTTGATACCTATTAACTTTCCCTGGAAGCGAGTGCAAAATTAGCCGAAGCGAATAGTATAGTTATTTTCCTAACAAGTGCGCAAAGTGCTACTTTTCCGCACGCAAACACAGTTATACGAACGACTACGAGCTTCATATCAGGTAGGTAACAACAAAAATTAAAAAAAAAAAACGATAATTTGTTCAATTATAATTAACTTGAACCGACCGACCCTATTCTTTCATCGAAAAATTACATAACAAAAAAAAAAGAACAGAAAATTGAAATCCTCCTCAGAGCTGTTCATCTTAAAACGTTTGAAGAAGCTTGTAGATTCTTGCATGCAAATGGAAAAAACAAATCTGACAATGTGTCAAAGGTAATTATATTCAGTATTTGTATAGATGTTGGCTGATATAATGTCTGTTTCTGCAGAAATCACAAACCAGTCAGAGCGAATTTCACTGGTCGAAAACAGTCAGAAACAATCAGAAACAATCAGAAAACTAGTTTCTACCAATAAAATTCACTCTGACTGGTTTGTGAATTCCGCAGAAACAGAACTATAGAAACAGAGGAAAAATTTGTCATCATGTGTCAAAGTCGACAGGTGCACTTTATTGCTGCTTGACAATTATTTTAACTTTTCGGCACTCAGTGCGAATACAGGTGTAACTTTGAGAATGAGAATGCGTGCGGAAAATTACCTCTTTGCGCACGCTCGTAAGAAATAGTTATTTACCTAACAAATGCGGAAAGTGATACTTTACCGCACGCAACGGCAGTTGACCGGGCGACGCGAAGGAGTTCGGTCAAGCCGTTAAGGGCGGTAAAGGCACTTTCCGCATGTGTTAGGTACAAAATTTTACCTACGCGCATCTACTTTTCCGAAAAAAGGTATTAATGAAATTAATTAATGAATCAGATTAATTAATGAAATTAGATTAGATTTTAGAAATGATCAAAAATCCATTTTCTGAAAAAGAAAGGATTTCAATCATAAATACCAAAGTCTACTTTACCGCACACTTTGCAGTCCACTTTACCGCATACTATGCGGTAAAGTTAACTTTACCGCACACTATGCGGTAAAGTAACTTTACCGCATAGTGTGCGGTAAAGCGCTACTTTCCATTTGCAAATAAGTACGGTAAAGTGCACTTTACCGCACGCTCGTAGGTGAAGAATTTTTCAAGTTTCAGATAAACGGGGAAAGAAGTGCACATTTATCACACCTCATAACTTTTCCCAGAAGAGTGTGCAAAATTTGGAAATAGGTGTGCAAAATTGTCCAAAATTAGATGAAACGAGTAGCATAGGGGTCTATCAATTTTTTTAAAAACGGGTGGGGTTATGCAAATTTTTGATACGATATAACTTTCCCCAGAAGGGTGTGCAAATCTTAAAAATCGGTGTGCAAAATTATGGGTTATTTATTTTTGAAATTTGTCTATTTGTCGAAAAAAGCAAATTTTCAAAGACGGGGGTAGTCCTGACAACCTGCCCACCTCTCGACCTGTCCTATTTTGACAGCTGTCAAAAATTACATTGGACAGCTGTTGAGTATTCCAAATTCTATTATCATCCGATCTTAAAATGTATGCAAAATTTCAGCAAAAGCTATTGCGAAGAAATGGTTCACAAATCTGCATCTGTCACATTTGACAGTTGACACCTATCATTAGTGGTCTAAAATGTATTATCACCCGAACATAAAGCGTATGTAAAATTTCAGCAAAATCCGTTGCG